TCCTCATCCTCATCTGATAAGAATGTAATGAGGAGTGCCATGGTGGAGAGCGTGTGTGACAGATGATTTAGGCTCAGTTGTCGGCCTGGAGAGGCCGCTACTGAGCTTGGTCAGCGAACACAGAATTCGTTTAGCCGAATTCTGTGTCCGAACAGGACCTTAGTAAGTTAGTAATTGATTCTGGAACTGAATTAAGCGGACAACGCGCTTGTGAGCGCCTACACCAGCTGCGACCACATCCCGTCTCTGTTCTAGATCTTGCTTCCATCGTGGAAGTGAGCGTCCATCCGAACAAATGTGTTGTCCCAGGAAAAGTTAAACCAAAGAGCGCTTCAAAGCAACGTAAGATCTCAGTTGCGAATTCCTGCCCAGTGCTGCATTTATCACCCGCACAGCTGATCATAGCGACATGGAATCATGCTGTCTTGATTCTCACCACACTTCTCCACAATTGACGCCATTTCCCCATGCATATTCTCATGCGAGTATATGTAACACACCTCCGGACTCATCTTGCTTTAAATAGGACTCTAATTAATGACTTGAAGTCCATCCTGCTACACTGAGTACCTACGCTGCCCGTCCTCAGTATGAGCACTCAGTTATCATTCGACGAGACCTTCATCCTTTCAATCTGGGTCGAGGTACGTTAGCAAACAATTTGTGATTGCGACTCTTGAAATACGTTGTCAAACACAGCTTATTCTTTATGGTGTGTCATTCCTTCCGGCTGTGATTGATGTAGATAATAAAACCGCTTGCACAGGACTATATCTCGGCCTTTTTTGTGTCAGTATTTGTATTATCGTGCAAGACGGAAGTTACAAAACTACGCCAAGAAAGGTCAGTCGATTATTGCCGTGTGCCGTTTGAGCTAAATCTCATGGAACATCTAGATAATGTTTGGCACAATGGTTATTATGTTTGTTCTTGCCACCATTCATATGGGTGAGTGATGACTATATCTTCTCGCAGACATGGTGTTTGAATCATGTTACTAGGAATCAATCTATATCGCCTATTGAGGGGTTATGTATGGCTTCGTGATGCCCCTGGAGGTCCGGCTGCTTATTTCGCAGACCTAGCAAGATGGGATCATATTGTCAAAGATTCTATATATGTCACTCAGACTCTACTTGGAGATACCCTTGTTGTGAGTGTGGCGTCTGCGATGTAGCATTAAGTCGTTTATGCGTTCTTAAATTTTTTAGATATACCGTTGCTGGATCGTCTGGAGTAATAGTTACCGTGTAATTGTTCTCCCACTTGCTCTTCTCATATCCAGCGCATGTAAGTGGAGTGTGCCCTCAGCCATTTCCCTCATCAATATGTTGGCTTGCGTTCAGACTGTGGCATAAATGTTTGTTGGCTTTTCACGAAGGCTTCGGGTGTTTCCATATTCGCCTCACGCCTTGCGCACTACATAACCGTGTATTTCAGCTTGTGTTTCACCGAGAACATTCTCACGACTGCAGCCGTCTCGATATTGAAGCCAGAGGATAACTCCGGCATAATGGCTTTTGTCCGGATTGTGGTGGAGAGCGCCGCAATTTATGCAGCCGCAACCTTCATTCTGCTCTTGTTATACACCCCGAACCTAAATATTCAGTACATTGCTTTGGAGACGATTACACCGATCGTGGTAAGCACACACAAGTCACCTTTACTCATGTGCATTTTCTCATGTCCTTTTCCGAAGGGAATCGTGTTTACCTCGATAACTGTTCGCCTTGCATTGCATAATCGCAAAACAGTGAAACATCAGACATACACCACCAGCATACCTATGCAGCCAATGACTGTCCACATCATGCAGAGCATTGAAACAGATGTGGAATTGCGCTCCAAGAATGAAGATAACCGCCTTTTCTCAACGAATTGAGGACAACTCAATTTTCCTGTCCAAATGTATTCCGCTCATACGAATGAAAAAATATCTTGCTATGGGTATACTTGAGTCCAAAGGTTAGTCGATCGCTGAAGGCATCTGTTCCGCTCTGGATAAGAAAAATTCTTTCCCCTTCCGACACTGGGTAGGGTTAGCGAAGCGACTATGACCATTCCCATGCCGAGACAAACATCTTTTGGTCTAGACCGCATTAAGAGCACAAACATCAGTAGTAGCTCCTTCAGCGTTTCCTTCAATGTCCCTCGTCCTACCATGCATATTTGGGTAGGTCCGCTGCATTTGTGCAGAGGAGTCGTTGGCTTTCCAAACAGGTTCTATCGCTTGTTGAGCAATGTTGAAACATTAAATACCACATTTTGTAAAATGATATTACACTGGGGGCATGAGCATATTTTTAGTGTAAAAAATGTGATAAAAATGCTTTTTCCTTACAGATTATTCATTCACTGTTCTGGTTGAAAATTTTTCCCAAAAATGCTGCTTTTTTATCAAGTTTTAGGACCTGAAAATCTGGTACATACTTCACATTTCTAGGCATGGGAAATGGATGTAAAATGTGAGAAATAATGAATTTACTCATTGATTTCATGCCACAAAAATGCAAGGACAATCTTGGTTTTCATTGACATTTTCAACAGAAAAGAACCAAAATTTATCCAAGATTTCATAGTAGAAAGAAGGTGAGAAAATTAGTAAAATATATGAGATTTTTCAAAACTATTAGCCAATGAATAATCCAACATTTTTCTTTAGTTTTTGCAAGGAAAAACCTGATGGATAAATGTTTATCCAATGGATAATCATTCACCCATAGGCAATATATAACAAGTTTTCTGAACCGAAAAGGCAATGAAAAAGTCAATGGATAAGAGTTTTATCCCTTGGATAATCATTCTGCCATAGGCAGAACATTTACCCCATATGGAAGAATGATTATCCAAGGGATAAACTCTTATCCATTGACTTTTTCATTACCTTTTCAGTTCAGAAAAGTTGTTACATATTGTCTATGGGTGAATGATTATCCAAGGGATAAACTCTTATCCATTGACTTTTTCATTGCCTTTTCGGTTCAGAAAACTTGTTATATATTGCCTATGGGTGAATGATTATCCATTGGATAAACATTTATCCATCAGGTTTTTCCTTGCAAAAACTAAAGAAAAATGTTGGATTATTCATTGGCTAATAGTTTTGAAAAATCTCATATATTTTACTAATTTTCTCACCTTCTTTCTACTATGAAATCTTGGATAAATTTTGGTTCTTTTCTGTTGAAAATGTCAATGAAAACCAAGATTGTCCTTGCATTTTTGTGGCATGAAATCAATGAGTAAATTCATTATTTCTCACATTTTACATCCATTTCCCATGCCTAGAAATGTGAAGTATGTACCAGATTTTCAGGTCCTAAAACTTGATAAAAAAGCAGCATTTTTGGGAAAAATTTTCAACCAGAACAGTGAATGAATAATCTGTAAGGAAAAAGCATTTTTATCACATTTTTTACACTAAAAATATGCTCATGCCCCCAGTGTTAATCCTCTGGGAAAGTAGGGAGTAATCACTTCATTATTATCTTGCGTGGGGCATACCCATCCGAGGTCCCATCATCCCGTCACACCCACTCTTCTAGGTCGTTTACTAGTAGGCCAACGTTTGCAATTTTTCCCGCTCCAGCACGGCTTCCTTCCCGTCGTTCGTGTAATGGATGCGCCGATATACTATCGCTTTGTTGCTGTAGAGGTTTCAGGCGCAAATTATGAAACACTCCTCTCTCCAAAATCAGAACATGTCGTCACTCATACAGTAAAGACCCTCACTCTTTTTTTCACCCGTCAACGGACTACTACGGGACGAGGTCCATCGGTGACCCTTTAGCGCATCAGGAACACTTTCTACTGGTCCCGAGAGGACGCTCGAAGAATTACTCGTTACGTGTGCTGGCTTCCTGCATTGCGACCTGTCTCGAATATGTCTGTCCAGTTTGCGCATAGGATCACCTCGTTACATTTGTTCAAGTTCCTTACTGCGCTCTGGCTCGTAGTCATATGTATTCAGGGTACAAACGCCGGGTTACGCGCTGCGAGGAAATAGAAGGTGCGGCGAGTTTTCTATCGTTCGTGAACAAGCCCAATTGACTGCGTAGTAGAATGAATCATGTGTTGTGGGGCTCAATATAGCGAGGATGAACCGCAGGGGAACGGAAATGAGGACGCATCTGCCTTTGCGTTCCTGTGTGTCGGGTAAGGAAAGAAATTCTGAACTTATGAGAAGATGTGGCATTGGGTCCGTCGAGTATTTTTACACAAGCGAATCAATGGGAGACGAGAGCCGAGTGAACTCGTTGTGATGACGAGGAAGTACATCACCACTTACCCACTGGGGGCGGCCAGGAATAGCACCATCATCTCCCACAAGTGTACACGGGTTCAAAACGATGGCATCGTCTGTCGCACATGGTCATCTTCTGTGATTATGCGATCGAACTGAACAACCGTCAGCAAGTATGACCTCCAAGTCAGTTACTAGTGCGCATCAGTTACGCACCTTCCACTTGTAACCTCGTCATCGACTCGACCATTGAAACTAAGACACTATGGCCACCGTCTAGATCTCTTGGCTTAGACTCAGAATATACATCGAGAGGGAATTGGGTCGACATCGGGTGCGGCTTCGTTCAGGGAGAGAATTCATATGTAGTACTGGAAAAGTGGAGGTGTCGTTATAGAAGGTATTGAACAAATGCTCGGGGATGGAGGCCAGAGGCAGAGAAAGGTGTTATATATAAACCGCCGAAACCGTAGTTATCGGAATACATAGCTAACTACTGCGAGATTACTAATATACGCCAACACTCTCCCATAATCGAAGCAGAGATAGTGTTACCTAAAATGCAAAATCTGTGTCCGAAGTAGCAGATGTCGCATACGACATGCTGGAGTCGTGTGAATCATCTTAAGGGGAGCTGGGGCATTCGGCCTTGTCACCTTGCTCCGCAAGGTCTATTCCCACCCTGAGAATGCGTCAGGATACCTGACAGTGTCAAGATAATCGTCACGTGTTTGGTATCTGCTCGTGTTGTTTGTATCGGTATCCTTGGATCGTATCCGTGCTTTTGCGATTTAACTTCGTCCTTTTCTTTGCTTTATTGTACATTATTGTTTTTTCTCATTCTATCCCACCACTCTACTGTTTTTGCATTCAACTCTCACAACCTCGTGTCTTCCAACTGCAGATATGGGTCCAACATCTCCATGAATATTTTGTCGTCGGAATCGCGAAGTACTCGGATAGTGTCTTGCCCAGAGCTTCGTGATAATGCTACGTAGAGGTTAAACAACATAAGTTTTCCTCCTGTCGGATATCTACGATCACGTGGGGTATCGTTTGTCCTTGGGATCGGTAGTCAGCAAACATGTCTGCCGCCGTCAGTGGATGTTGGTGGCGGGTAACTTTTCTTTGCCTTTTTTTCGTTCCGCTTGTTGGCACCTCTATCCTGAACATTTTTTTGGCAGGTTCTATCGGGATGACACCATCATCCAACTCCTCTAACCTTGCCGCTCGTGTTTTAGGCAACTTACGCAGGTGGATATTCGAGTGTGACAATCGCTGAGCTGCCGCTCTGGTCTTCCTTTGGATCCAAGACAATTCCCACCATTTCCCCCCACAATCCGTTCGTGACATCAAGGTCAGTGTCCACATTTGTTGTCACGATGACTTTCATGCCTAGGGCGATCTCTACCTTATTTGGTAGTCCATTCTTCGTCTGTCTTCCTCTCTGTTTTCGATCCTGTTTTGTGGCCATAGCATAACGTTCAGCTAATGAGAGTCTGCGTTCATTTATTGTGTCAAACACTGGACAGATGAATAGCATTTGTTTGGTATCCTTGCAGTGCTTTCGAACCATCGCTGCATTCCAAAGGATTCACACTGAATGTCTCAGAGTTGCCAAACTCACGTCTTTCCATGCAATGTTTTGGAAGTCTGTGGGAGGACAATCTTTGCTCGTAAGTACCAATCTCTTTAGCATTTCCACGTCTGCTTCTTTTACCTTGCCATAGCGCAGATGGCGTAGGAACGCTAGCCACTTTGAGTCGGTTACCCGTACTTGCTGATCCAGCAGAACCACAATTGTGAATTGCTCATAAAGCCTTCACCCATTTTGTTCTTTCAGTGTATTGATGCCTCTGTTCACCGGATAATACAACGGTGCTGTCTTTTTCGACGCCACTGGGGGAAATTGATGGAAGTCACTGCATAATATGACGTTGACGCCACCAAACGGTAGACCAGCTCCGTCATTGCCATCAAATCCTTTAGCAATGCAGATATTTTGCTCCAATGTTGCGAAGAATGCCCTATTACTGGTAAGTTTCTCCACTTCTTGTTATGTGCTCAGTGTGTCTTGCCTTGATAGCATTGAACTCTCATCTAATATGAGATATTTAATGTGTTTCCAGAAATTCATTAGCCATTATTTGGCAATATTAAAAATGAATTCTTAGGAAAATGTGGGTACTTGCAACACCTAGGCGGGAGGCTATGTCACCAACCAAAAAAAAGAGTTATGAATGCCAAAGAGGTGGCTGAGATGTTCGCGAAAAAGAGGAAAACTTACTAACTACTGTGCAACAAACATCATGTAAATACAAAGGACAACAAGTTATTGATAAATTGAGCAAGGTCTGTCATGGGGATCCCCTGCACGTTTCTAGTAGTGTCCTTTGCCACCACAATTGTGACAAATGACGTTCGGTGATTGCTTCGCTGCGTGTGCGCAAACCTTGACAGCGAGTGCTTGAGCCTCTACTGGTGCGCTGGGGATCGAGATCAGGTCCGGATTCAGCTGGCGAGCTTCTTCATTAAGAAGATGAGTGATGATGTAATCGAGAGTTAGCTTCTCGGGCGAAGTAGAATCGAGGGCAATGACCAGGTTATCATACGTCTCCCCTAAACCGTTGGTGAGAATGAGGATCATATCCTCTTCTTCTCTAGCCTTAACCCATGCCTTGATGGCATCTTGAAGTTCCAGATTGACATTCAGAATGGGGATGGTTGCCTGGCTGAGATGAAAAGAGAGATACTTGACATCAGCAATCCATGGACTTCTTCATTGTGAGATAGCGATGGTGCATTGTGAGTCGGGAAGCAAAACCATGTGCTGTGTGAACTTGGCAAAGGCTCTCCCAGATTTCGGCAGGACTCCCTTCACAGATATGGGGGTGCTGATCAGGCTCAACATTGAGGATGATTTCAGCTTGCGCCTGCTGCAGCTTCTTCTTGTAAGCTCTGACAGCTTTAGAAGTAGGGATACCAGGAGGACGTGTGTCAGTACCGTCGACAACACCCCAAAGGTCCTTGTGAACAAGTAGCGCCTTCATAACAAGACTCCAAGTGTAGTAATTAGTCTCATTGAGCTTGGCAATTGAGTCTCCAGGCATAGTGATAATAGAAGTTAAAAGAGTATAAGAGGGGGGATATGTGATTCAAAAAACAAGTCGACCGGAGTCCTTCCCAGAAGCGAGTGTGAAAATCAATGGTTATATAAGCCGTGTACGTGCCGGAGCCCTTCTCAGCAGTAAAATAAACCTCTGGACAAACTGCAGAGCCCTTCCTGCAAGTTGTGTCGAGTGTGCCGCTATGGAGCCCTTCCCGGACGAGCACAATGATCCGGAGCCCTTCCCAGACCATGGTATTTATGTAATACAACAAGTTTTCGACTTGAAGGATGTTCAAATGCGTGGCGATGAGTACCAAAGCCTAACAACTGTTGAAAAGAGGCTTGAGCTTGTCTCAGGGCCTGTAACCTGTTGAACAAATGTGTGGGGATGGAGGCCGGAGGGAAGAGAAAGGTGTTATATGTTAGATCCCAGATCCGACCCATGTTATTCCGACATTTCAGGTACTCCGATAAGCCCTTCCACTTATTTCCGACATGCCCCCATTATTATTCTCAGTCACAGCTCTATCTTGATATTATCTCCGTACATCTTATCTCGATCCCCATATCCGCTCCGATTTCGGAACTCCATATCATGCACCCTTATCTTCCGTTCCCAATTTCGGAATCCCGCATGTCTTAAATATGTTTTCTCTTCGTCGAGCTTCTTTAGCTTGTAAATCGTGTCATATTGTATTGTATTGTATTGTATCGTGTTATATCGTGTCGTATCGTATCGTATCGCATCATATTGCTTCACTACTTCATATCACTATCTTTCGTACCACCCTCTATTACTACACTTCGTTCGCTCCAAAATTCTACCTGTAATAAGGCCTTCAAACCTTGTTTGGTATTCCAATTATTCCGAACTATTCCGATTATTCTGATCACTCTGATTATTCCGATCATTCCGACTCTACTTCATCTGACATCTCAAACCCTCCTTGATTACACTCGCCTCCCAGAAAAGCTAGTCTTTACTCGATATTGATTTATCGTTACTTCTACCTTCCCACATTAACCATTCCATCCCCGAATACCCAAAGCCCCCCGCTCACCTCCAATAAGTCTCAACACATCATTGGCACTGACCTTCCGAATAGACCTGACCAATCGGAAACCCAATAACACTCTGGTCTTCAGTCCGAAATACCAGGGCACTAGAAATCCAAGAGGGCACAACCCATAAGTTGAAGCCAATGCCCATGTTGATCAGTCTTCGGATCTCCAACATCCGAGTCATCCAGTATTTCCGCGCATTTCCAAATATTGCAACTACCGGCCTTGGTCAAGGAGAGCTCTGACCAAATCCCACCCCGACGTCAAATCCAGCGAACCCTAACAGTCCGACATCGAATCCGGCACACGTCTCTAACATTATATATAAACCGCCGAAACCATAGTTATCGGAATACATAGCTAACTACTGCAAGATTACTAATATACGCCAATAGAAGGTGCATATATAGAGAAGAAAGTTAAAATTGAGCAGTTGAGGAGGTATAGCACAAATGTTTGAAATGGGAGAAGCCTTGCTGCCTAGCAATGGTGAAGAAGATGACTTCTTGCTGGCCTTGGTCACGATTTGTCACACACCATCACACATTTAGCTCACAAATGCCCACAAGTCGCTTGGATGTTATGGACAATGTTATCAGTACTCAGTCGATTGTTACCGTTCAGCATAGCAGCCAGTGCCCTGATCCCGTTGACATCGGACAAGGCTTAGCCATGTTCCCCTGGAGTCCTCGATACAAAAGAAAAGCAGGGTTTACTGCCGATGCTTGCCTAATCATTCTGTCACAGGCTTACAAAAACACCGTTATCATAGCATACACAAAGTTAATATGGGCTCCCATTAGGCCAAGACTCGTAGGTTGAAGGATAGTATGAAGGTGGTGGGTGATGGTCATGTAAATAACTATAATAAAGATATTGTGATTGAGAGGACCTGGGACCCATGTGCTGAGTGACTGAAGGTTTGTTATGAGTGGGATGATGACTCGCTGGAAACACAGAAGAGTTAGTGTGTAAGAAACATTGATTGAAAGGCTGATTGACTCGGTCTGGCATAGGCATGGTTCCTGAGCTTTGACTTTGGAGTACTGCAAGGTCTCCTTGAAGGGTACGTACTTTATCGTTAGTTTTGCACAACTTCTTATATGCTCATTTGATTTCCTTCCTCATCTCCATTGCGTGCTTGAGGGATGTAGTTTGAGTCTGGGCATCGGTTTGTAATCCTGAAAGTTGTGTATAGACAGTTTGAAATCCAGTGTTGTGGGATTGAATGGTGCATTTCTGAACCACACCTAGTATTCTAGATTAAGAAATGAAGTAGAAAGTGAGAAAGCCATGTACTGGTCTGGACAATGGATCATGCAGCCCATCGAAAGTGCACTGGCAGCTGACCTCGGGAAGGAATTCCATGTTTGCATAGCAATTCTATGCCTGACATCGTGTGGGAATCATACTGCATCCTGTGCATAATACCAGCTAGCATAGTGAGTTTCACGTGATCACGATTTATACTATGGTGAGCTTGCCCATTGCCATTTGAAGTTGTAGGGGATGCCTTCCAAACTTCAATTGGAATCTTGCTCAGAGGTTGGTACAGCACTGCAAGAGCAAATCTGCTTGCAGACTCCTTATTCTTCAACCAATCTTAGGACAGAATTGTTAAGGACTCAAGGAGAAAAAAGTATTATAATGTCCTCACCTGCAGCTTTCTTGCCTCCCTGACGAATCTTCTGTAGGGTGGCTTCGAAATCGAGCAATGGTTCAGCCAAGGCAATGCTCATCATTGCAGTGCGTCCCTCAAGAGAAATGTGCCCCTTCAAAGCAAGGACATTTCTTATGAAATGTGTAAAGCAGTATCTGTAAATACGAGCTAGGTGCTCATAGGGAGTCAGCACATGTAATGCCTTATTCCATTCTATAGCGCAATAACCCACCATATCTCAGCATATATCTTCCCAACATAAGCCTAATC